GGTGAATTTAGGTGTGGGGAGTGAAGTAGTGGTGGATTTAGGTGTGGGGAGTTAAGGTGTGGTGAATTAATGTGTAGCGAACTCAGGTGGAGTAAGTTTTTAAGCGGTGGTGAGATGAGTTGAGGTGAGGTAAGTTAAGTTAAGATAAGTTATCTTTATCCTTATCTTCATATTCATCTTCATCTTCTTCCTCGTTTTGGTCTTCATCTTCTTCTTCATCTTTATCCTTTCCTTTATCCTGATCTAAATATGTCCATTCTTTTCTTCATAAACATATTCACCCCCACCATTGTTATTAGGTTAGGTATTTAAATTTTCCTTCCTCTTTGTCTTTATATTTAGGTTTCTTTACTTTTATTTTAATTTCTGTATTTATCCCTTTCTTCTTCTCCATACTCAAAATTATCTCATCCTTGTTTGAGGCTAATCTATTCATGTACATACATACATACATCTTATTCCTAAACTGCTGCTTAGCACGTTTCTTTAATTCACTATCAATATTAAAGCATACATTTAGGAGGCATTTCCGCCCCAACCATGTACATCATAGATGGGCACACCAATACAGTCTCATTTTGTCATGGTATTCGTGAATCGCGCTGAGTAACAGTTGCCACTTTTCTATATTGTACAAAAGTGTGTCGTTTTTTGCGCGTGTTAGAAAACGCTCTTACAAATTTATATTTAATTTGTATTATGAACATGAAACGAAAATAATAAAATATAATAAAAAAATAATGAAGAAATAATTTCAAATAATGAATTATGAAATTAAATTTTATAAGTACATATGTACGTGCATGAAAAGTTTTTTAATTTAATTTCATTAAACTAATGTTTTAAAAAATGATAGTTTATTCAACAACAAAATTCACGAATTTAAAATTTCTAAACTTTGTAAAAAACTCAGTATTCAATAAAGTATACTAAATATATTAAATTGCCGTATCGTACATACATATATACATAAAACCCATTACAAAAAACTTTAAATTGGTTTACACAGTTCGGCAGATTGACTTTTTTACCATGACAAATAATGTCGCCTTATATTAAAAGTACGATTCCAAGTAGTCGTATTACCACATAACAAGCATTGGGCATTATTGGCTTGTCTTAAAACCGAAAACTGTAATTGGCACTCATACGCAGCCATTTTGGGCATTGTTACATATATAGGTGGCAACAACGCGCTGAAATTACGAATAAAAATATTCAACGGCGAAGCGTAATGTCACTCTCATGAAAACTGAAAGCAGACTGAATTGAAATTCGCTGCGTCGTTTCTGTATACGTATAAGCGCTGCGACGCAGACGCTACTCGCGAGTGGCGTTTTGCCCATCATTGATGTACATGTATGGCATTGGTATTGGTGTGACTTTTGAATTGATTTTTTCGCTCTATTTTAAACTAATTTGAAATTTTAAAAATTGCCTGCACATCAGCATCAAAATACCTTTCTAATGATATATTGTTATACCTTAGAAGTACAGTTTAGCCGTAAAAGGGGTGTAAAGGAAACATGATTGCCTATTTATATAATTGATAATGAGATTACACACTTGCAGGTTTTAAAAAATACAGCACGTAAATCCATCAAAATACCCTCTCGCTCTGAGGAGTTATATTTTTTAAGAGCACTTCGACCCCTAGCGTTATTTACATTATTTCACCATAAACACATCAAATGTTCGGCTAACTCATAACTTTGTACGTGGAGTATTTGTAAAGAGTTTATTTTTGTTGATGGCAGCATTTTTATTTTTATCGCTACGAGTTTTAAAGTGAGGCGAAAAATATTTATCACTCACATTTTTAAAACACAAAACTTAAAACCACAAAACGGCTAAGCTTTTTACGCTAAACTTTTAATTCAGAAACTGACAATAGAGAAACGAGTTTAGAAAAATCGCTGACAAACAACCAAGCAAGCAAGAAGCACAAAAAGTGTTCCACCGTCTCATCCTCTTCAAGGCAGGATGGACAAATGGACTTGTCATTTACGCCTATCATAGTCAGGTTGTGCCAGAAGTGACCCCTCAGCAGTCCCGTCTGCTCAGTGAGAGCAAAAAACTAGATAGACCTTCTGAGATCGAAGGGAACATGAGGTTTGCCCATCTGCATCCACTCGATGGCTCTCAGTCATTGCTGAGCGAAGCATTCACCCAGTTTCTGATGGTGTTTTCGATGGCCGAAAGTGGGTGTGCTAAAACTGGTTGCGTACCGAGGAATGCCTGGTCTGAGCCAATTCTGGCCAAATGGTCAGATGTTTCATAACCAGGTACTCCTGAGTGACCTGCCACCATAATTTAGTCGAGACTTGCATTACAAAACTAGTTTTGAAGTAGTTAGAGGGCTGGCCAATGCCTTAAGTGCAGTTTGGTTGTCACTGCAGGCAGGTAAACTCCTTCCCCTCCACCTATGTATGTTCTACCACGTAGGCCAGGGCTTTGAGAATTGCAATTACCCCAGCCTGGAAAACTGAAGCATATTCCCCAACATAAAAGTGAAGTTTATCCCCATTAACTTCGAAAAAGCCTCCAGATCATGACCATCAGTGAAGATTCGACAATGTGTGAGTCCGGTCTCAGTGCTGGAACTGAATCCAAGGGAACTCAACATTATAGAATCTTTTCAACAAAGGTAATTGCTGCCGCCAGCAATTTTCGCCGCGCCACACTCAGTGTTATACCAACATCCGCTTATTTTTAGTCTGCAGGTGGACTTTAAGGCTTCCGCATGTATGAAAACACAAAGTGACAGTAAGTGCAGCAGTGCGTCAAGAGCCCTATACACTACTCAAAAAAAATTAAGTTAAATAAAAAGGCTATAACGCAACCATTTTGATTCTTTACTATCGAAACCAGATAAATTTTCGTGGACCCCCACTTGCAACTCATGGACCACCATATTTTTTTTACGCCAACGTGGACCCCCGTTGAGTCTCCCGAGGACCCCTGGGGGTCCACCTGGACCACTTTGGGAATCGCTGTGTTAAACAAATGGAGGCACCTGCAGTTGTACATCTCCTCCGATCGGCAAGTAGATTTTATGACAATTTACGGCTTATCGATTACAATGTATGTAGTTATCATATCGGCAATGAGTCTTTAATTTCACAGGTGCAATGTACTTTACGTATCTAATCGAATTATTGTTTCTTATATTCAGAAAACACAAAGAAATTGCATGCAGTTGTGCTGCATTCGAACTTCAGATCGGTCTAAAAAAAATGTTTGTCGCGCTTCTAATAGGTTTGGTGGCAGTGCTATTAGGCTGGGACTATCTGTACAAAAGGCGTCATAATGAGATTTTTAAAAGTAACGGCCTTAAATCCGTTTCGAGTCTACCAATAATAGGTTCAGCACATCATCTCATCAATGTGTCGGCAGCCGGTAAGTTTAGTTGAAAATTTTGTGTCCAATGTTTCGAAGTTAACCGCCTCTGAATGTACATATGTATGTACATATCTCAAAGGTGAGTCATATTTTCGAGAAAAATTTATGGAATCACCGAAGTTTATAGTTATCGAAATTCATCGAGTTATACATGTTTATTGAGTTATCGTAATGTATCGAATTATTCAAATTGATCAAGGTTTATTATCTAAGTTGCCGAAATTTATGAACACAGAAAATTAGTTGTGGAAATTTACAGATATGTACAAGGTTATCTAACAATAAAAATGTATGGCATTATCGAAATTTGTCAAGTTAAAGAAAATGTATGAAGTTATCGATATTTATTACATTATCAATATTTATAGTCAACGAAATTTATTGAGTTATCTTAAGGTATCGGGTTAACGATATTTATGGATTTTGTGAAATTTGTCAATTTATCGAATCCGAAGATTTTGGAATTTTTTAAATATATCGAGTTATCGAAATTTCAAGGTTATAGAAATCTATCGAGTTACCACAGCTTATCGAATTTTATCGTGTTACTAGAGTGTAACGAGTTATCGACATTTGCCGATAGCATTCGAGAAATGTGGTAACATAAAAATTAACAGAATTATCGAAATTTATAGTGGTATCTAAATATTATCGAGTTATCGATTTGTATCGAGACGTACACAATTTTGAGTTATTGAAATTCATCGACCCTTCGAAACGTGCAGTTATCAAAATTGATCGAAAATTATCGAAACGAGTCGAATTATCAAAGATATGTATCAAATTATCGAAATTTATCGACAAAGTTCTTCTTCTTCTCTATTTTTTTATGCTTTATAATAAATTTGAGTGTTTCCGATAACTCCTTGAATTCAGAAGACCTCGATGAAAGAATTTATTACCAAAGAAAACTCTTCAGTGACTCTTGATCTCTCTGATTTTTCATCTAAATTCAAATGTGATCTTAAATTTGTTAACATACATTCGCAATTTTTGGAAACAATGGGGTAGGGCCATATTCATAGTCAAAATAAACCCGAAACTATCAAAATTATATCTGCCAAAAAAGCTGCTACTAAATTTAGAGTCGACTTAATTTCGACCATGAATATGAGGTTCATTATTTTTGAGAACTACGCCCATTATATCACCAAGGGAGGCGAAGCGCACAAAGTTTTTTGATGAATGATGCAATAGAACTCAAGAATCGAATGTCTTTGTGGATTTTGTTGGTTACTGTCTGTATTTGTGGCTCTTCTGACCTGTTTTCTTGGGTGTTAGTAGATCTTGCTTTGATTCTTAATCTTATACTATGTCTCCATTGTGAGATTTAATGAAGATTTAGCCCTCTGACGAGATTTGACGCTAAATCTTTTGAGATTTACCATATAAAATTAAATCTCGAAAGGCAGTCGATTTAAGTTAAATCTTCGTCAAATCTTCAATAATATTGATCAATAAGTACAATTTGTTGGATGTGGCAACCACAAATTCACATGCCATAAGTCAAATGACATTTGTGTTTTCAATATACAGTTGAGGACATTGAAATCTAGCCTATCATAAAAACATGAATTTTCGTATTTTTAGGGATTTTTATATTTTTGTTAGTAAATATTGATAATGGTTCTGCTTCGATAACATTGCACCGAACATCCTCTAGAACTCAGTTCGTATTCATGATATGCAAAAGGCCCACGATTGGATTTTCGGTTTCCTCCTATGAAAAACCTGAGAGAGTTCTACAAAAATTTTTCTTTCCGCAAATGTTTTTTAACGTTTTGATAATTTTTCTTAAATTCGGAAAAATGATTCGAAATATGGTACCATTCTTTACACTTTCCAAACTATATATTATACATACATATTTACCACGAATAAGAAGCCAATAATATTCAGAGTTCATATAATGAAATTCCGCTTGGTACCTTCCTTTTATCTGTCTGTATATCAATGTCAGCAACTGTATTTATAAAATCATACATAAGCAAACGTCAAATATTTAAAAATATGAACGTCAAACATATCTCGTTGTGGTAATGGAGACGGTTGTGATTTAGCAACTGGATTTATTAAATCTTAATGAATAAATCTCTCAATGGAGACATAGTATTAGTCATGTCATTTTATGAGATTTATTTTCATTAATATAAACTGATCTATCTACTGTACTAATTTTTTATCGTTTTGTCTTTATTTTTGAATATACAACACGCGGTAAAATAATACGATCACCTTGTTTGGGCTGTTTTTTTTTTATCAAAGTTTAGCTCATTGTCTGGCAAAAACTATACACATAAACCCAGATTTCAAAGTTTCAACAAAAATTCACATTTCTTATTCAGAGTTTTTAGACATTTTTTGGCTAAACATTTTTGTTTCCCTTTCATTCTAGTACAATAAAAAGTTACACTTTTTGTCATTAATTTAGTACAATTTAAAAACGCATGTATCAACACTGCTATCTATGCTTACAGCGATTCCGGGAACTGTCTTTCAATTCACCACAGTCTTTCGAAGGAAAAAATTAATAAAATAAGTTTATAAAAATTAAATTAAATTAAAAAATATGCTTCTTTTTAAAGCAATAAAATCTAAAAATAAAAATAAAATAAGTAGATACCTAAATACTAAAAGAAATCAAAAAAAATGTGTTTTTTTTAAATAATATAATCTATAAAATAAAAGAAAATGAAATTGAAATAATTTTTTTTTTAATAAAAAATAAGCTCCTAAAAATTTAGTTAAATTTAATAATAAATATTAAATGAAATAAACATATAAAACAATGAAATCTATAAGCTAAACGAAAAACTAGTTGAATAACGAAAAAAAAAAATGGTTAAAAAAAGAAGAAAAAAGTTTCTAAAAATGAAATCAAAAAGCTATTTTTTAAACAATGAAATTTATAAATTAAACATAAATTTAATTAAAAAAGAAAATTTAATAAAAAAAGAAAGAAATCAAATAAAAAAGTTAAAATATAAGTTTCTAAAAATTAGATATTGAATAAATAACTATTTTTGTTTTCAAAACAATAAAAACTTAAATTTAAATTAAAAAAATCAACCAAATAAAAATAAGCAAATAAAATGTTTTTTTTAAAGTTAAATAAAATTACAAAAAATATGAATATATGTTTTTCTTTTTAAAACAATAAAATCTAGTATATTAAATGAAAAAAAAACAATTTCGCAGTACGAGGGCTCGAATTCGGACCTCTAGAACGGCACGCCTGTAGTTTGCTCACTCGGCCATCGCGGGGAAAATCATTGACATCTCCATTTGGAATACGGTCAAAAGTTTTCTGTAAAAAGAGCTTTTCACCACGAAAGTTGGCAAACCAGCTTCTTTATGCAAGACTTCCGTGCCAGAATAAACAAAATCTTTCAAACTATTTTGTCTACAGTCATTCAATTGTCCTACAAAAGACCTTAAACTACATATCTTAGCCACAATCGCCCTCTTAGTTTATTAAAAATTCTTTAGTTTTCGTAATAAAAAGTGTACTCGGTACAGAGTAGCTGGTCTACATTGATATGCATTAATACGACTCATTTTTTTTTTTCAAACAGAAACACTTACATTTAACGGCGATATCCTCAAGAAGTATGGAAAAACATGCAATGCATGGATTCTAAATCAAGCAACTATTTTAACGGCTGATCCCGAGCTTCTAGAGCCACTGCTCAGTAGTCAAAAAGTGCTGACGAAGAATAATCTCTACTCACTTTTGGGCAGCTGGCTGGGAGACGGTTTGCTGCTAAGTACGGGGCCCAAATGGCATAGCCGCAGAAAAATTATTACGCCTACATTTCATTTTAAAATCCTCGAAGGATTCGTAGAGATCTTCGATCAGCAAAGTACAATTATGATGGACATGCTGAAGGAGAAGGCAGACGGTCGGGGAGTAGTGAATATTTACCCATACATATGTGCGATGACGCTGGATGTGATAACTGGTAAGAGGTATCATATCTTATGAGTAAAAAAAATATACAACATTTCGCTAAAAATCTTTCAGAAACTGCCATGGGCGTGAAAGTCAACGCACAACTGCAACCGAATCTGCCGTATGTCAAGGCTGTGCGCACGTAAGTATTCACCTACACTGCATATGATCACCTACAATCATGCAATCAAACTCTTCCTTCTTGAAATTTCCCCGAACAGCGTTTCCGCCATAACAGCAGAGCGTTTTATGTCATCTTTGCAGCGTTTCGATTTTTGGCTGCGCCTAACTGCTCCTTCGTGCTATAAGCAACTCCAAACCAGCATTGAGCTTATGCACGATTTCACCGGCAGTGTCATCGAACAACGTCGCGCGCAATTGGAGCAAACTAGGCGATCCCCTCAAACACAACCCACCGACGAACAGAACGATGTTGGCGCCAAAAATCGTACCGCTTTCTTGGATATGTTGCTGCTAGCGGAAATCTCCGGACGGCCGCTTACCAATGCCGATATACGCGAAGAAGTGGATACATTCATGTTCGAGGGGCATGACACCACCACCAGCGGCATATCTTTCACTTGTTACCTACTCTCGCGTCATCCGGCTGTACAGCAGAAAGTTTTCGAGGAGTTACGTGCCGTAATAGGCGATGATAAGCGACAGGCGGTGTCACTGCGAGATCTGCAGGAACTTAAGTACCTGGAATGTGTTATTAAGGAATCGATGCGACTGTATCCGCCAGTGCCAATAATTGGGCGTTACACTGAGGAGGATGTTTATTTAGGTGAGAAAAGCACTTTCACTTTGCAATTTTAAAGTCGTTTGTCTACTTTATTCAACTTCCCTGCCGTTCTTTTCAGATGGTAAACTCTTTCCTGCCAAAACGAATTTGATGATGTTCCTCTATCACGCCTTACGTGATCCCGATTACTTTGAAGAACCTGAGAAATTTATACCCGAACGTTTTAGCGTCGATGCCAAGCAAAAAATAAGCCCATTCGCCTATGTGCCCTTCAGCGCCGGTCCGCGCAATTGCGTGGGTCAAAAGTTTGCCATGCTCGAGATGAAGAGCACGATTTGTAAACTTTTACGGTATTACGAACTCCTCCCGTTGGGGGAGGAAGAACGCCATATTATGAATTTAGTGATGGTTTCAACCACTGGTATAAAGGTGGGTTTAAGGCCTCGAGTATATGCTTAACGTCGCAGGTTAGCTGATACTGGCTTCTTCCACTGATGCGTTGTAGTTTGTAGGTACTCCATGATATAAAATTTTATATTTGTTATATGAAATAGTTAAAAAATAATGCCAACAGTAATAAAAAGATCACTTACACGGAGGGGAACTTGGGTATTCGACCCGAAACTTACAGTTTGAATATACATATACAACTATTACCAAATCTATCCTATTTAAAGTAGCGTCTGTCTCTTTGAAGAAAGCATAAGTAATATCCAAGTGAGCCCAGCTCAAAGAGATCCAAAGATAAGCTGGTGTCAGCATCACTTCTTCTTCTTCTTAATTGGCGCTGTAACCGCCTAAGTGTCAGCATTACTGGTACGATAAAAAAAGCAATCAGGCCTCTTCGCTTCTTCTATATATTTTGATCAAGGAAGAGACAATGCTTTTTACAGTAACACATGATCTTCCAGCCAACAACAGGAAGGCATTTAGGCTTGAGATGTCAATAGGACCCTATCGACAAGAGCTGATGTTGCTAAATGCAGAATCTCTCGAACCTCTCGCCTAAAGCTATGGGTGTGAGCGTAGAGCTATGTAGAATTTGGGTTGTCGGCAAAAAAAGAACTGATGGCGCTCATTTGAAAGGGGGATCGAAGATTAGTATTGGTCTTATGTTTGATGAGGCGACAGAGGTGAGGCCGCAGGCTACTATTTTTATCTAAATTTTGACCTTTTTAACCAGAATTTTTAGAATTTTTTTTATTTTTCTTCAAAAAAAAAAAAAAAACGGAGAACCACACATGACGCCGCATTTAAAGAAATACTTCCTACAAACAATATACAGTGCTATCTGGGTCGAGTGAACTAATTAATGCAAGACCAGTTCATAGAAAACAGATTGTTCACTACATCCAGATTGAGTTTTTTGTTCTTTAAAATCAATTTTATTGCGCAGTGCGTCTTTTAAAGTTAGATTTTTAAAAACTCTGAAATGTCGTATTTTCCCTCAGCTAATGCCAACACAGGTTGGTCTGTCCATAAGGCCAGAGGCGTTATCAGGGTGGGGTTCAGTGGGCATGCGAAGATATGCTGCGAGTCATGGGGCGTCTCTCCGTATGCCGGGAATTCATTTGGCACATCTGCATTTATTCTGATCAGGTATGAGTTCAACCTGCTGCAGTAGTCAGATCGAAGTTGGGCTATGGTGTCCGAGTCTCCCGAGGTAGACGAAGCTCTATCTCGTCCACATCTGGTAGTTGCTCCGAGTCTCCCGAGGTAGACGAAGCTCTATCTCGTCCACATCTGGTAGTTGCGTGCCCAGAACGGCATTCATAGGTCGAGAGTATATATAACTGTCGGTAGGCTGTTGGGTCCAGGGGTAGTTTTATGAACCCCCGGAATTCGTCCGTCACTTCATATAGATGCCTTCTGACGTGCCGTCGCGAGGGTTCTTCCGCAAGTAGATGTCTGTTCGGGTTCCTAACACGGTGACACCCTACTAGGAATTGCTTGCAGAGCATTTTGTTATGCTCCTTCATCGGGAGCATATGGGCCTCGTCGCGCAGGTGATGTTGCGGCAGCATCAGAAGGCATCCTGTCGCTGTCTGAGTGCCGTGTTTTGGCAGGTCTGCAGTTTCATCCACAGCGTCCTACTAGTCCCCGATAACCACACAGGAGTTGCATAGTACAGAGCCGGGCGGCAAATTGCCTTGTACGTTGCCAACAACGTTTCTTTGTTTTTACCCCAAGTCCTGACGGCTAGCGATTGAGGAGTTTGTTGCGGCTTTGTACTTTATTGACAATTGCGGTTGTATGCGCTGAGAAGGAGAGCCGACTTTCGAAGGTTACTCTGAGGATCTTCGGGCTATTCAACGTCGGAATTGGTTCGTCATCGACGAGAATACCCAGTTGCAGTCTGACCTCCTTCGAAGTGGTGAAAAGCGTTGCTGAGGATTTTGTAGGCGAGAGGGTTAGGCAAAAGCGAGAGCGAGAAAGCTCGGCAAAATAACCATTATCGAGCAATCGTCAGCATAAGAGACAATCGAGACTGCCTCTGGTGGTTGAGGGAGCTTAGAAATGCAAAAGTTGAACAGTAGTGGGGAAAGGACACCGCCCTGTTGAACTCGCTGTTTTATTTTCCTAGGTTTGCTCGATTTGTCTCTAAAGATTACTGACGACCAGTGTTGCCATTTTAGCCGTTTTCCGTCTAGATTTAGCCGGTTGAGATAGCAAACAGCCGGAGAAATTTCGATTTAGCCGGCAGCCGATTTGTTAGCCGTTTCGCAAAAAAAAATTTGCCGTTTTTAGCCGATTTTGCTGTTTTCCTTGTTTTCTTAAATTTCAAATATGTATATATGTTTCCATTTTTGACTAAGCGACCCAAAATCTGTTAGAAATGGCTACTAGCCTTATCGTGGAGAAAATTTTCATGTCAGGCAGGGTTGAATGAAATTGGGCCGATTACCCTTATTTTTATTTTAAACGAAGAAGGGATTTTCTTCATAAAATGTTTGCTAGAAATGTCTTAATTTTAAATGTGATGTTTTATTCGCAAACTTAGAAAATAAGAAATTGTTTCACTGTTAACCCTTTCGGGACGGAGTTTTATTTGGAAACCGGAAATAGTCGCAAAAAAAATGTTTGCGCACACTGAAAGATTGGGCTAAAAAATTATGTTCTGCATACTCAGAAATCCTAAAATCGTCCTTTTATCCTGGGACATATATTCCCAGTACACATTTACTGTGGGATATAAAATCCCAATAAGAGTTTTTGACGAGTATAGTAAATTTGAAAATTAATAAAAAAATTAGAAAAATAGCTACATTTTAATGAAATTTTACATTTGTTTGACTTATTAATTGGATTAATATAATGTGTTAGAATTATTAATTTAATTTGTGGAAAGGTCCAAAGCAGAGGTGGGCACTACCACAAACAAGCGATCGCTAAAAGTGAGAATGTGTTAGTGTGCCTAATTCCCCTGCAAAAAATTGGACTAATCCGGGATGACTCCGGGAGCAATCGCAAAGGAGCATGCGACTAATACCACTTTTGATCTCTTTATATGGAATGAACTGTTCGCTTTTGTTCGAGCATGTCCTATGAAGAGACTAATTGTTCACCTTTATACCCGAACAGGTATAAAAGGCGACTAGTGACTTTTAAAAAATAAATATAAAAATTTGCGCCAGCTGAGATTCGAACCGGGGTGCTCAGTTATGTTAGGCGAATACTCTCTCTGTGAGCCAACACCGCACATGAAATTTCATTGACTAAGTGCGTACATATCATTAAATCGTTAATAGTACCCGTTAGAGATGAGTTGAGGACTAATTGATCTCCAATTATACCCATAAGGGATGAGTCGAGACCAATTGATCTCCATTAGTACCCGCATGAGACTAGTTGCGACTAATTAATGCCCAGTTGTACCCGATTGAGAGTAATCTCGGCATACTCTCTTTAGAGGTTAGTCGCACAATTTTTTGCAGGGTCATTTTACATGCTGACGCGTTTTCATCGTTACGCTCTTGCTTGTATACGTACACGTGATGGTTCTGCTCTTTGAGCGTGTGCTCGTTCTCTGCCTATGCCTGGTCCAAAGCATTTGTAGCACAGCGTGTTGTTACAGCCAGAACAGATCATTTTTGTTCGCCTTTCGACTCCAAGTGAAGTGCAGCGTACGCAACGGTAACGCTTCTCTTGCTCCACTGGCAAGTGCTCTCCAACGTTGAGGCTATCAGTCTTTGAGCGCTTAGGAGTTCTTCCTCCCTGTCGACGAGGCATTGTCTCACGCCTTTTATTTCCTTCGAAAATCATTGCTTCCGCAAGGGGGACTACAAAGTCTTTCAGTGATAACTTTTGCTTCTTATGTTCAGTATAAACAATCCATGAGTTTGTGACGCTAACCATCAGTAGCTTGTAAAACACTTTTCTCCACCATTTTTGAGACTTGCGATTGAAATCATAAACGGTAGTCTTCTGGTCGGCCAAGTCGACCCCACCCATAATTCTGTTATAGTCACTGATAATTTAAGAACATTTAATTTTCTTCTTCGATCCGTCTTTTTGCTTCCTATCAACGTCTACAAGCGACGGCTCATGACAATTTGAAGCTAGGAGGACTTCTTTTGAATCCATCCACCGGGCTGCCAAAATACCGCCAGAGTTGATTTGAAGCTGACTTTGTCCTCTGGCCAACTTTCCGATAAATTTAGGCGTATTCTTTCTGTTTTGCATGTATGTACCAAGTGCGGGGTATGGGATTATTTCTAACATTTTAATTGAAGTAAAAAAGCGGTCATAGGCTAGACAAACATCTTTCTCACGAATTGAAGAAACCAATTTCAAAACTACTTTTTCTCCAAGAGTGGTAGGTTCAGAGTGCACAGCATTTGCTTCCTTACCAGTATAAAGATTAAGATCGTAAGTGTATCCTGTCTTCGAGTCACATCGCATTCAAATTTTGATTCCGCGCTTTATTGGTTTCATTGGCATATATTGCTTCATGCTCGATCTACCTTTGAATTTTACCATGCATTTGTCAATGGACTGAAATCAACTTTCACTTCGAGCAGCTGCAAATGACTGTTCCAGACATTGCACAACATCGGAGATGTAATAATCTCTAGAAGCGTCGGCGGGCTTATCGCAGTCAATAAAATATAACTTTGATGACAAAAATAAATGCGATCTGGTGATATACAGGTTTTTATAACTGAATTTCCCATCGATGGGTTTTTTCTCCTTCAGAGAAGGCAACTTATTATAATGCATTATCAATGAAACTCCCAGAATTTCATTCGGATCGGTTAAATTTCGCTTTGACTGAGCCCGGCGATTCAAAGCTGTCAGACGCTGATTAGTACATTCAGCAATTCGAATACACAAACTGTAAGGAAATATCGTGGAAAACACTTTGAACTCGGTGCAATCGGGAGTAAAATCAAGAAGAATTTTGCAGTCTCGCTCAGTTGGGATTTCATACTTTGGATTGAAGTTCTGAGAATCATCCGGAGCAACATTTACCCACTGGGCAACAGGCAGTATCTCGCATTCGCCGCATCCATATTATCGTCAACT